GTAACGAGGCAACGCGGAGGGAGCGATGGCGAGGGTGGGGAGGCGGGCGGGTTTTCTTCTGGATTTCTGTCTCTGTTCAGGAACCCCTTCTCCTTTTACCCGGGATCCCGTCCTTCTCACTCTTGCCGGATTATTTATATAATTTTATTAATAATGATGACGATAATGAAGCAATTAGAAAGATAATAAAACCGGCGACGTGCGACCGGCTCGCGGGGGAGGGAACGGAGGTGAACGAGCGGAGGATAATTGTGGAAGATCGGCAATTACACAGGGTTCGGCGAAGTATTGCCGATAGCCGGTGGGTTAATTGAAGTAATCGCGAAGGTGGAATGGAAAAGAAATTTAGTAAGAAGGGAGTAAGATCTATGAGTAAGAAGAGGATTGTATTTATGGCGAGTGATTGAATTTTGATTGGTTTTTTGAAACCGCTGCCGGATCGGTTGTTCAAAGTTGAGTTTCATTAGTGAGCCGATGAGAAGAAGTTTGATGATTGGTGGCTGGAACGTTCTCCGCAATGAGAACCGACTTCCTTACTTTATTTTCTGGAGTTTCTGTTCTAACTATCGTATTTTGCTTTTCTCGCGGTAAATGGATCTTGTGGTTTGTGGATTGTGGTTTAGAATGTATTTTACGTCAATGTGTACGAAACACATTCAGGAAATAGTCAGGAATCTATTGGGGTTGAATATTTGACTCAAGTGTATCGAAAAGGAGCTCTATTAATTAAATTTGTTACCTGAAAGAGAAAGTTCTTACTAGTTTTCGTTTGAAGAATTAATTCTGAACGTCTAGTAAACGATATAGATGACTGAATTATTGGAAGAACTTGTTTTGATGTATTATTTAAGCAAATAACACGCCACAGGAAAAACCATTCTGAGCGAGCAAAGGTTGTTCGGTTTGGTGAACACTGACCCGGTTCAACTTAATTTCACGCTGGCAGTCGCGTCAAGGAATAGGTTGGAAAAGGTCACGAGCATCGCGAAGCATCATGCAAAAAGCCGCCCCTGAAACGGTCCACGAATTCCTGGGGAATTTCTTCGTAGGAAGGGAAAAAACGGTCCCTAGGATAAAAAGTCACCCCATCGAGACGAGGGGTCGGTGGACGCGTACACAGAAATATCTCCCGAACTAATCTGGTCTCGTTTGTCTTCCGCTCGTCATTCGTCAATTATTCACAGTTTCGAGCGTCTCCGAAGAACCCGAAGAACACTCAACTTCCTTCCGTGTTTACGCGGAGTATAATAACAGACAAGAAATTAACGTAACTGGATAAAAATAGAATAAAATAGAATAAAAAGTGTAACCTCGAACGATCGTTTCCGTTTAATTCGCAACCTTTGCGACCGTGATTTTTAAACTTGAACCTTAAACGTCCCTCTGGTCTGTATGGCGATAAAAAGGCATCCAGCAGGAAGCGACGTCATCGACCCCCGCGGCGTGGTCCAGAAAAGAGCTATAACCACAAATCTTATCGCCAAGGGTGGAGGCAGACCAGAAGGGGGTTGATGGTCACGGTTACAGGGTCACTAGACTAAAGATGTTCCACTTTCTTAAGTGTCCGCAGTTAATGTCGCAGCTGTTTTATAGGTCAGTTCTATTGAAGGAAATTCGGGGTGGATCCAATGAACCCTGGAAAAAGAAGAAGTACAGTGCGAAGGTTAGAAGATATATCCTTACAGGTTCTCGCAATTACATTTAAAATTTTGCAACAATACAGAGAATCTTGCATAAATTTAATAAACATTTTCGATACACTGTTTGCACCCCTATTCATTCCCACAGTTGCCAACTGTCTCATAAGGACACACGAGTCTACAGTCTCCGCAAGGTTCCAACCCGTCCAAATTTCTTCGCTTTTTGCCTAACAGTATCAGTTTGAAGTGCGCCGACTTTAGAATCCCTAGCACACCCTGAACCAACCGTTTCAGAAATTCTTCGGAGCTCGTCGAAAGGACCTAGGCGAATCTCGCGGTCGTCGACGACCCCCGTCGCGTGCTCCAAAAACAAGCTATAACCACAAATCTTATCGCCAAGTCGCGGGACCAAGCAGAAGAAGACGCGAGGGGGTGGCTGGTTAGGTTCAAGGGGGAGTTTGTCCCACCTTCTGAGCTACCTAACAAGTAGCCTGTAAGAAGAGCCGTTTCGCCCGGTGATTCGTGCTCGTAGAGCTGCCGGCGGCGTCGTTGCTGCCCGAAGGAAAAACTGCGACACGGTTTTTCGGCCAGCGAGAGACTCCCTCGAAGTTCAAGGCCATCCTCGAAGAAAGGAGAGGGGCGCTTTTTTGTTTTCTGTCGCTGGCTCCGCGACGAGAACGACCAACAGACCGACAGACCCGGCTGGCCGCCGCATCTAGCTCTTCAACAGACCATTTTTTCGACACCTGTTCTTTTTTGGCTTCCACCGCGACCCTTTACGAAACGCTACCGCCGTGATGCAGAGTTGAATTGCTTCCGGGACCATTGGGAACATCATCAATCGACGGAAACGAAGGATGTCATCCGGTATTTCGGAACCTCTTTCGATGCTACAGATACTGAAGATAAGAAGATACACGCGATAAGATTCGGTAGACACAGACCTAACTGAAGCAGCAGCTGAAGAAGTCCAAGAAGAAATAGGAGGTTGATATACCTGATACGTTTAGGAGAAAGAGCAACGAGGAATTTCAAAATGGAAGGCACACCGACGCGCCCGAGAATTCATATTCCCGTCATGAGTCCCACGCAGCGGAGGAAACCTCTCCGCGAAACCCTGGAAACCATCGTCGGCATTGATCGAGCGAGTTGGTCCAGGATCGCGGCCATCTTCCGCGCCGGTTTTCACCGACCAATCGACCGGACGAGCCGGGCGAAATTTGAAAAATCCCGGGACGAATCGTCCGGATGGTGCTCGTTGGTCGGTCTGGTCGGCCATGTTGCCACCGACGGGAGGGGAAGAGCAAGGGAGGGCGAAAGAGGCGGCCGGCCGGGTAACAAGAAATCTTGAAACAGAGCAAAAGGGTGGAGACGGAGATTAATGAGAAACGAATCCGGAGAGGAGAGAGAGAGAGAGAGGAGAGAGAGAGGAGAGCGGCAAGAGGATGGAAAGGAAGATCGGTGGAGACTGTTCGAACCGATCCTCGAAAAGGGCTCGCCATGTTGGAAGGGAAATAGACGACATTCCCGTGTCATTGGCTCAGGTCAGGGTTAGACATCGATAAACTTTTCCAGCTAAGTTATTTCTTGTCCCGGTTCTCTTTGCCTAGATGCTCGGGCAGTTTTCTTCGTCCCCGGAAAGAAGGCTCCGAAGAAACAGGAGGAATTCTTTTTCCCCGAAGCAACAAGATACCTTTCCGAACCCTTCTTTCTTTCTTCATTCTTCAGCGTTACCTGGCGGTCTTATTGGATTATTCGCCGCCCCCTGGAACTCCCGTTTCGGCAGAAAAGGGCGTTCCTTGATTATTCGATTACGATTCCACGGGAATATTTCGC